GTAAAACACCTTTTGTGCTTAATTAACTCCACGTAGAATTTACTTATTCCCCCAAACTTCACTGCCTAATATAAAGAGATGACTTTAATGTATTTTATCTACTATTGGCCCTTGAGTTTTAATTTCTATAGTCAAGTGTGTGCTAATTTCTGCATTCAAGAAATAGTTAATCCATTATGTTGTCATTTAATTAACTATGGTAATTTGTTATGTTAATTCATGGTGTTCTAGAAATTAACCATTAATTATTTCCTGATTGCATAAAATTGGTAATTGTGTTGTATATTTACATTTTAAAAATTATATATGAATGTTTTTCTTCTTGAAAATGAAACCATCATGCAGCTGGAAACAGGTTTAAAGATCCTCACAGTCATGTCTCACTTTGCCTGCACACCATAGTCTAATGTTTCATTTCTTATATTCCTGAATCAAGTCAATATGTATTACGTAAAGAATTATATATTTGGACTCTATTACCTTATTTCTGTGACCTTAGATCCATCCAGTATGGACTAGTAGTGTGAGACAAACCAGAACTTATCTTTATAGCTGAGACTATTGATATCCACATATTTTATATTTTGACTTATACGTCATCTTTATATATATTTTTTTTTTTTCCAGAAGCCCAACCTTAGTAAAAAATATACCTACCAGTTTAGGCTATGGAGCAGCTCTTAATGCCAGTTTGCAGGTAATATCATTAAATGTACTTTTCCAGTTTTGATCTATTTGAATGTTTGGGGCTTTTTTTTTTTTTTTTTGGCGTATCTTTGTATTTAGGTGAGATTGTGATTGTTCTTAATAGTTGGTTTATCATTCAAGTTGTAGTACCTAGTACTATAGACAGCACTAGTTCTAATTCAAGCTACTTTTGATGTGAAGAAGCAAGAAGGACACCCTGTGGCAAAATCTGGAACACTCGGTTTTTCTGCAAATGCTAGATTGATAGAAGCTTTTGCAAATGCATGTGGCTATGCATTAATATTTATCCAGGCTGTCATAAATGATTTCACATCATAGTGTTGGGGAACATGGTGCTTGTGGCAAAAACTTTAAAGTTTAATTATAATATATAATTTTTATGCAGAGGAGGCAAATGTCAGGACTTCTTTATTTTGAGTTAAGTTCTGGTCATTTTTAAAAAGCAAAGCTACTGCTTATATTAAACTGGAGTATTTCATTACATGTGTGGATTCAACATTTCATTATGCCAAAGGTTGAAACATGAGTGAGAAAGTTTGCTGCACGAACTATTGTTTGTATTTTCATATCACACTGACTTTCTTTGCATCTCTGCCACAAGTAACCAGTTAGGAATTTTTTTTTAGTACATTTTCTTTTAATCCTTCTAAAAAATTCGTTTCATTATTTGAACCCATTAAAAGAAGACACATGTTTTAAAGATTATTTTAAATGCCATTTTAAAAGTTGTTTTGCACACTCTTCATTTCACTAGGCTGCCTTGGCAGAGAGCAGTTTACCTTTGCTAAGTAACCCTGGACTGATCAATAATGCATCCAGTGGCCTACTGCAGGCCGTCCACGAAGACCTCAATGGTTCCCTGGATCACATGGACAGCAATGGGAACAGTAGTCCAGGCTGCTCGCCTCAGCCGCACATGTAAGTGTGGTTAATGGACTCCCTAAAGAGAAGAATCTATATTAATATGCTTCTGAAATTTAGTATTTTCTGAAGATTTTACTGTTGTGTAAGTTAAAAATACAAATTTAAGTGGAGTTCAATTATACAATGTTCGTTATAGAAAAAAGTATATCAAACTCGGTTTGAATACATTTTTTAGATTGTCTCAAATGCCCTGTAATTATTGTTGTAGGAGTCCTCTACAGATTCTTAGTACTGCTAATGTTCTCTTGGGTGTAAAGCGGTGTCTAAGATGAATCTACATCTTATGGGTCATTATCACAGTTGGGTTTGCATGGTGCAATAAGAATATTCATGATGGAATAAGTTGTCATAATTTTTACTACTATTACAGGTCTCTAAACCATTTATGAACTGTAGTCAAGATATTGCCCGTTTTTATAAACCGTTAAATACAAAGTTTAACTGTTACCCACAGTTTACATAGAAGCTAGTAAAGTGTAACTTTTTGCCTGTCTTATAAATCAGTGTAATTACATATTCAACTTTAATTACTGGTGCGTCTGTATTGGCAAGGTTTATATGTTATATTTTATGCAAGACTACGATTCCTATTAATATTTAGCAGCTAACTATATCATTAATTACTCTAAAATCTTTCCCCTACCATCTTTTTAATGGAGCTGAGAGAGTAGAAGTATTAAAAATTGATGTATTGTGGATTTCAAAAATGTGTATGACACTTTAAAAAATGCCTGGCTTTATTCAATAGTGTCAAGCATATTAGTGTCTTGTTTACTAAAATGTATTGACCCTAGTAGAACTGAAATTTCAGAGAAAAAAAATTTGAATCTGAATAATGAAGTGTGTATACCATTTAGCTGTCAGGACGAGTTGTAACTCATGTCTATACTTCCTAGAATTAAACGTCACATACCTCTAATTACAAGTTATTGAGATAAGATTAGTCCTTTCTCTCATTTTTATATTGTCTTCCTTTATTTTTCCATTCAGTATCTAGTAAAAGGTCTGAAAGAGAAATATCCTCTTTATATGTACCCATTTTCACTTGACCTTTCACAGGATATTATTTTTGTTGTCTTTTCAAACATTTTATTGTTTGACATATTAACGTCTTTAAGATCATATGCCTAATTGCTTTATAGTGCTTTTATTCTATCACCTTTGCAAAAAACAGTGTGAACATTAATGTGTTTTATCGGGTTCCAAACCATTACTTCTTCAAAATGGAAAAATTTATCTTTTGGAAGTATCTTTAGATGTATTAAATAATACAAAAGAAGTAATAAAACTCGAAGTAGAAAGAACATGAATATATGCTCTTGAGTGTAGCAGTACTCTAAAACAAGGCAAGTGAGCAATCAGACAAAAGTTTTTATATCCCCGCATTATCCTATCAGCCATGCAGTGGATAGTTTGCGGCCTTTTACTTTCAGCAGTTCTCCTGAGTATGCTAATGCTCACTCCCTGTATAAAATGCTAAAACAATAAAACTTTAAAGAGCAAACAAAAGTTAGATCCGGTTTTCTCCTTTAATAAAAGACCTATTTCAGAGAAATAAAAGACGTCCCTAATAAAAATGTTTAAGTTGTTGTTGCAACTCCCTGTGCTCATATGAAATATACAGTGGTTGTTAGAAACCTACCTATAGATGATATGTAAAGACTTATTTTTTTAAATATACTCGTCTGGTGTTCAAAATATTAAAGTAAACAACTAATGATGTAATGAAATAGTTTATTAAACATTATATTTTAGAACCTGAAATAATAATTGGGCTAAGTTATAGCATTGTTAGATGAGTATTATTTTTCTTTTGGCAATTTCTACTTCAGATTTTTCATTTTATTATTAATTTAATTAAAGCTTATGAAATATTTCAGAAAAATATTAGTATGCATAACATCTAAAAATTATACATATAATGTCTAGTATATTGCTGCTGTGGGTTAATAAAGTTAAAATGTTAATAGTTAATACAACACATTTTATGCTTATATGAATTAGTGCATGTGGAAAATAATTATGGTTTGTTTTCCATAGATAAAAGGAAAACTTGCCTTGGCTTATTGAAAATAGAATTCAGAAAAAATAAAAAAAGTGCAAATTTTATCAATTATAATCAAAATTTTAACTAAATTATCTTGCAAAATATTGAGTCAGTATATTCATCCTTGAATCTGTTTCTGCTGCTGTCACTAGGTTTTTGCATATCAGATGTCAGATATTTATGGAATATTTCAGTATTTTTTATCTTCACCTTTATAAAGTTTTAAGATGCTTGTACTTAAGCCGTGTCATGTATTTTATTGGGCAAAGGAAGAAATATTGATCTAATTCAATCAAAATTTGATTGTATATAATTGAATGCATTTTAAAATATTTTGAAAATTAAACAGCAGTGAAATAATTTTATAAGACATTTAAATAGCATACTTATATGTCCTAAAATGAAGTTATATTACTTGCTGTTTTAGAGGGGGGTAGTTATTGCTGATGCAATCGTAAGCAAGAGGAAGTAGGGCTTAGTGGTATCAGAACATAAGTTGTAATGCCAGATTGTCAGGGTTTCAGGCTTTCAATTCCAGATTCAATACTTAATAGCCAAGTGGGATTGAGCAAGTTACTTAATATTTCTTTCCTCAGTTTTCTCAGCTGAAAATGAGGTAAGTCATAATATAATGCTTCTTACTTCATAAGATTCTTGCAAATGAAATGAGTGCCTGGAACATGATAATTGCTCCTTGTGACTCCCATAGTGCTGTGTAAATAGGTACTGATTTACATTACTTCTTGTAATACCTCACTCTTAATAAAAATGAGTCTGTAAACAATATGAAAATATTTTTGTATTTTACATTTTAATACTTTTTTCTAGGCACTCCATAAATTTGTGGTTAGTTTCATTGGCAATCCATTTTATTTTCCTTCTTTCTCTTCTCATAATTGAAAAAGTAAGCAGATCCATAAAAGCGAAACAATAAGAAACAAAGGTGAAATTGGCTTATACCAGTAATCCTAGCATTTTGGGAGATCAAAGTGGGAGGATTGCTTGAGGCCAAGAGTTCAAGACCAGACTGGAGAACATAGTATGACCCCGTATCTACAAAAATAATTTTAAAAATTAGTTGGATGTTTTGTGTGCCTATCTATAGTCCTAGCTACTGAGGAGGCTCAGGCAGGAGGATAGCTTGAGCCTAGGGAGTTCAGGGTTACAGTGAGCTGCGATCATGCCACTGAACTCCAGCCTACACCGCAGAGTGAGACCCTATCTGCCTCTAAAAATAAAATAAAAGATGAAACAATATGACACAAGGATTTATTATAGGTAGCATATTACTGAGTCAGTGGAATAAAGGATTCTTGAGATAAATTGTTATCTGAAGTTGTAGGCAATGAACAGTTCAGATAGAACATCTCCAACCCAGAATTAGGGACTTACCGTATGTGTCTTGAAAACATTGGGTATTAGTTTTGTCAGGAATTTACAATGTACAAAGAAATATAGAATTTAGAATATAGGAAGTGGAACCAGACTGTTAAGTGACTTAAATATCAAGCTATGGTGTTTGTTTCAGTCAATATACAGTTTGGTAATGTTATCAGCTTGAGTTTGACCTGATCAGAGGTATGCATTAGGAAGAGTAATCTGAAAGTGTGCTGAATGAACCATGACTTGATGAAACTCATTTAAAAGAGGATATTCTGAAATTGGGAGCGACTGGAAGCAGAAAATTCTTGCAGTATGTACTATCTAACATAAGTACAAGACTAGGAGTTGAGAGCAAATAATCTATCTAAGAATTGCTGTGAAAAGAAATACCAGAACAAGACAACCAATTGAATGCTAGGGATAAAGAAGAAAGTTAGGAAAAATCACAGCCACTTTGAAAGTCTGTAAAGAGAAATAGAGGACACAAGAAGACAGGTTCAAAACGGAAGATGGAAAATTCAGTATTTTACTTGGGAAATCTAAGAACCTAAATATCATTAGATTCAGGAGAAAACACTGATGCTGTTTTTGATTAGTCTTTTAACTCAACTCCATTATAGTAAAATTCTTCATGGTAGAATATGAATATATACCTGAGGTTGGTAGAAAAGATATATTTATTAAGCATTAGAAGAGTAAAATAGATACTTTTTGGTGCTTCTTAAAAACTGTGGAGAACAAGAGATGCCCAGTTATCATTTGTATTCCATACTCCATATTTTACCCCTTATCTTCCACTCCAGTTTTTGCTTTATTCAGTTTCCAAATCTTTTCCAAATTAATGCATTTATTTCCCTCACACTATTTGAATTTCTACCCTGTCCCTTTTCTGTTTCCCCTCTACTCTCTTACCTAAATTCTACCTTTACTTATAGGACTAGTCCTGTTTTTTCCAAGAGGCTTTCCCAAGGAATTACACTCTCGTAGAACCTTGTACTCTGCTCCAATTCTGCTCCACACTTCTAAAGAACTTGCTTCTTATACCATCATTTGGAACTAATACTTTGTGTACATGTGTGAGTTTGTGTGCACATGCACGTGCACATGTGTGTTTATGCATACATCTGTGTTCATTTTGCAGATATCCCTACCTTAACAAGTTCATTAAAAACAGACTATGTTCTAGACAAATTATAGTATAAGTAACCTCTAAAACATTCTACTATCTTGAGGATAGCTTGAGCCTAGGGAGTTCAGGGTTACAGTGAGCTATGATCATGCCACTGAACTCCAGCCTACACCACAGAGTACCCTATCTGCCTCTAAAAATAAAATAAAAAATGAAACAATATGACATTCTACTATGTCAAGTAAGCATTCAGTAAAAGTATGATACTGATTATGAAGAATTGAATTGGAGATTACAGTTAATTAGAAATGGTTTGACTTCACAAACTAATACCTACAGGAGTATACAAGTCAGGATTCTACTAGCATCTTAAAGAAGGGAGAACAAAAGAGATTTTAGGAAGAACAGATGAGTAAACATAATGTTTGTTATTAT